TTGTACACAACGTTTCAACAATTTACATTGTCATCATCAGTTTATATGGTATACTACTCCTGAGTTTTATTGTACACAACGTTTCAACAATCTACATTGTCATCATCAGTTTATATGGTATACTACTCCTGAGTTTTATTGTACACAACGTTTCAACAATTTACATTGTTATCATCAGTTTATATAGTATACTACTCCTGAGTTTTATTGTACACAACGTTTCAGCAATTTACATCGCATTATGATTTTACTTGAGGTTGATTGTAGACAACGTTTCAACAATTTACATTGTAATTATCAAGTGAAAATTGAAAATTGAATAAGATATTAATTAAAGAAAACTTACCGACTAGAGCAATACTGGAGATATTAGTATGAGTTAGATTTAAGCTCATTAAGAGAGCTGTTAAATTGTACTGGTCGAAATGAGCTGAATTAAGCATTTTGAACGACTTCTTAATCCACTTGCGTTTCCTTAAACTTTTTTTATTTTTAAACCATTGTCCGGCGAATATTGGACATTAAATAAACACTTTCCTTAGAATATATTTCTATTTTGGGGAATTTATCACTACACTTCAACTAAAGGCTTTCCAAATATCAAAGTTTGTCTCGAATTATCCAATGCCTCTCCGAAAATATGATAACAGATTTTTACACAATCGTCCACAGAAATCGCAGGGAAACTAAATTTACAGAAAAGTCCAAAATCAAATCTAGAAAACGTTTAACTATCTTCTTAAAAGAAAACTGGCTAGAAATTTGAAATATCTATAAAACACATCCTAAAATATGCTAAAAATATTACAAACTTCTCCAAAATATCCTTTTATCAAAATAACTAGAAGTTTTTGAAAAAATAAATCAGCCGCCGAGAGAACTGGTATTTGATATTAAAACTTGTGCAAGCAAATATTATAATGCGAATGATTCTTCAATTACTTATCTTCGCTTTTCACCCAAATAGAAATAACTCGGGATAAAAATTCACTCGACGCGACACATTAAAATAGCACTTTTAATAATTGAAAAACGATCCTATAAGAAAGTTGAAAGTTTGAAAGCCATGCTATATTTGATGGCAGTGTTGACTGACTGTTCGGATTCCTGTAAATATTGATTATATCTATAAGAATTGCAAATCAACACGAGGATCCTATCTGGTCTTACTGTACTAGTCAATGGTGAGATCCGTCACTACAGTATTCCACTGATAGTAATAGCGGCATCGGCGTCTACAGGCTGGGGGTACAAATAGGGGCGGACTGACTCATTGAGGGTGGGGGGGGGGGGACAAACTGTCGAGGCTGAATTCTAAATGCGGCAACTCTGCGGGGGTGTCATAGTCGCAAACCTCTCATAGAGACTCCCAAGACTGGGGGGTACAAATAAGTCAAAACGAAACCCGAAATCCAAAACAACATATTGGCGAAATATTGGTATCAACTAATGAACTTTTCATATGAGGAAGTATATCACTGAGTAAGTATTTCATAATGAAAAGTGATATCAGGTGTCTAGAAGAGTAAGCATACCCTGCCTGGTACAAAACTGTTACATGAGGAAGTATATCAATTATAAATGAGTAAGTATTTCATAATGAAAAGTGGTATCAGGTGTCTAGAAGAGTAAGTATACCCTGCCTGGCACAAAACTGCCCACATGAGGAAGTATATCAATTATAAGTGAGTATTTCATAATGAAAAGTGATATCAGGTGTCTAGAAGAGTAAGCATACCCTGCCTGGTACAAAACTGTTCACATGAGGAAGTATATCAATTATAAATTAGTAAGTATTTCATAATGAAAAATGGTATCAGGTGTCTAGAAGAGTAAGCATACCCTGCCTGGTACAAAACTGCTCACATGAGGAAGTATATCAATTATAAGTGAGTAAGTGAAAAGTGGTATCAGGTGTCTAGTAGAGTAAGCTTGGCTATTGTTGATTGTTGAAGGGAGACAACTCTGTTTTGATTGAAGATGTATCACGCATGGGCTTCATCTATCTCCCAAATCTTATTGACTGTTGATCATCGTGGAGTAAAATGGGTATAGGCCCCTCCCCGAGGAGCTCTCCGTATTTTTGTCTTGGGGTTGCCCCCTCCCCCACCCCTCCCCCTACAGTAGTTGAGCCCTGCTCATTAAGTCTAACCAACTAACCTAATGACTTATATTATATAATTTTCCAGATGAATGTTCAATGAAAACTAGTTGTCTTGATATATTAAATTGTTAGACCTCGTCTACGATAGAATTGATAGACACTATTCTACAGTTGACTTGCTGATAATGTTTTGTCCTTGGATCTAATTCTCGAAATCTTAAACCCAGTTTCCCCCTTGTCAGTGATGTAGTTAAGAGAGGCTGACATGGAAAAAGTGTCTATTCGTTCAGATTAGACAATAAACCGAGGCTCGTGTGCTACAGGCTGTACATGTTAGTGATGTAGGTTAGAGGCTGACAATGAAATGAAAAAGTGTCTAGTTGTTCAGATGGGACAATAAACCGAGGCCCTGTGTACTACAGGCTGTGTACGTTAAAGATCCCTTGACAGTTGGAAATCTAAAAAGAGCAGGCTAGTGTCGCTGACCTGGCAAAATTTCCCTCATGGCACCCTGCATGGCGTTACCCGTCTTCATTAGCCCACATGGGGCAGAAAAGTAGGACGTAAAACTCCATTCATTTCATTTTTTTCGAAAACTTGTTTCTAAATTTTTTATGTATATCAGGGACAGTGATAGCATCAATTTACATCATTCTAATTTTCAATCAGACGTCTGTGGTTCTTGTTAAAGAGATTGTAAAGAGGTTTTCTAATTTTTTTATGTGTATCAGGGACACTGATAGCATCAATTTACATCATTCTAATTTTCAATCAGACGTCTGTGGTTCCTGTAATTCTACAGAAAATAAGCGTTTGTTGTTGTCACTAATCGCAAATCAAAGCCCCCTGCGTCATAAAACGCTTAGTTTAAGTGGAATTGCAGGAACCGAAGATATAACCAGCCAAGTTTGCGAAAATTTCTCTGCTCTCGTTGCATTTAGTGACTGAAATAATTTGGTTAATGAATTTCATGTGAATCAGACGAATGAGTCACAAGAGCCGAACAAGTTGAAAGTTGGAGGTGGAAATTTGTACTTTACCGACCGGTTTGACAACTTCTGATATGTGAGAGTATAGTACACATGACACGGCCCACTGGTTTTATGATGAAACAATGTCAGGGCGGTATGAGATGAACATGTCGTGGGGGTTCTACGACATGGTCGTACACGTAGTTAAAACTACAGGAAACCAGCCGTATGGACGTTAACTTGTCATCTCCCAGCTTTATCAGTGATAGTTGTACACAGATATAGAAATATTAAAACAGAACCTGAAACATGTTGTTACTCAGAGTTTCACACTATGTGATCTTCAGACAACTAAAACAGAACCTGAAACATGTTGTTACTCAGAGTTTCACGCTATGTCATCCTCAGACAACTAAAACAGAACCTGAAACATGTTGTTACTCAGAGTTTCACGCTATGTCATCCTCAGACAACTGCGTCTCTATTGAAGTTTGACAAGTAGAACTTATTCTCATGTCTAAACTTCGAGTCGAGTTCGAGTTCACATTTTAATAAACTGTTTTCATTTCTGAAAGGATGGTCCGGAATTTCCTATTTCATAAAAACTTATAAAAATATATTACATTACTTAAAAAAACATAACATTGATTTTTCAAAAGTTCCAAAGTTGACAAATAACAATACACCCAAAAAAACAACAGAAAACGCCAATGAGGGCAATTTTGCCATCGACATAAGCAAAGTTTATTTTACGATTCTCAACCCGTATTAGGCTGAAAACACATACATGCGGGTGCAATGCCTGCTTTGCGGTAAACCGGTGCGATAATGTGGTACCGTTGTTGCAGGCATGACACATACACGCGGTTCACTTTTGCGTTAATGTCGACATACGCCTGGACGAATCCCCGACCTTTTTGTCAGAAAGCAAGAAATTCATTTGAACGCACGAATTTTGTTATTACTAGATCTAAATGAACAAACACCAAAAATTGGTTGCAAGGACGTAACTAGGGTGATTTTAAAGTCCGTTGCGTCTTTCAACGCAACGCTTTCGGTAGACTTTAAACGGTAACCACCTTTGTCGGGTTTCTTACGAAAGTGAAGACAGCACATTGTTCAGCACCGTAAAAAAAAACTGTGAATTGTAACTATAATTTCGCACGACATGGTGAGTTTCGGAATTTTGATTTGACAAAAGGTCAATTAGTGCTTTCACCCTTCGTTGCATTTTTTCAAGTTTTGTAGCCAAGGGCAACTGTTTACAACTAGTCTTAATCCGATCTCGCTCGATAATCAGATTTTACCTTAATTCTCGTTATTATCTATTGTGGATTATGCAATATTATTTAAATTATGTCCATTTTCGACGATTAATCACGAATTTCTGAAATTTATAACTCACACCTACCTGTATTTATCCCACCTCTGTGTCATATTGACTATATAAGTGAATACAATGTCACATTGACTGCATTCACCTGTATACCAGACTCTATCAACACACCCAGTTTGTCAGGCTCTTACACGACATTAAATCCTCAAAATGTCTCAAGCAAAACTCGACAAATTCTCTACTTTCTTCGATAACTGTGATACTAGCGGTAACGGTGAGCTGACCATTCAGGAGCTCGCACACGGACTGCAGACGCAATGTAACTGTAAGAAGTCGGATGATCAAATTGCGGTGAGTTATGTTTTCTGTTTTTATTGATATTTTCTATGTCTTTAGTCCGAAAATCTGTCTCTATTCTAGCCTCTGATAGATATTTTGAAAGTTGTCAGCTAAAGTCGACATTCTATCAGAGACTGGAATAGAGATAGATGTTTTGGTCTAGTTGGTTCAAAATGTTTACAGAATCGAATTTCGCCCATCATTTTTGTATGAATTGAAATATCAACTACAAAATACTTCTGAGAGATTGTCTTTGGAGACGGACAACGCCATGCGGTGTGCAATGAGGGAAATTTTACCAGGACAGTGGCATTAGCCTGCTCTTTTTCGATTTCCAACTGTCGAGGGATCTTGCACAGCCTGTAGCACACAGGGCCTCTGTTTATTGTCCCATCCGAACAACTAGACACTTTTTCCATGTCCGTCCCTCTTACCTACATCACTGACAGGGGGAAACTGGGTTGAAAAATCTGAAGGTATTATCTCGACCTATGTTAGGATTGAACCCTGGACCTTCAGGTTAGCGAGCAAGCGTCTAACTCACTGAGCCATCACTGACAGGGGGAAACTGGGTTGAAAAATCTGAAGGTATTATCTTGACCTATGCCAGGATTGAATCCTGGACCTTCAGGTTAGCGAGCAAGCATCTAACTCACTGACAGGGGGAAACTGGGTTGAAAAATCTGAAGGTATTATCTTGACCTATGTCAGGATTGAACCCTGGACCTTCAGGTTATTGAGCAAGTGTCTAACTCACTGACAGGGGGAAACTGGGTTGAAAAATCTGAAGGTATTATCTTGAACTATGCTAGGATTGAATCCTGGACCTTCAGGTTACAGAGCAAGCGTCTAACTCACTGAGCCACCGCGGCTCACTAGAAATAGGCAAGATGTTGTTCCGGGTCATTTGTTAATACAATGACTTTCATACGCTAGACTAGACCAAGTTTGTTTAACGCCTCGGGGAAAGACTAAAACTAACTATTTTAAAAATTGGCCTTGGGTTATCATCTTATTATTTCTACAATTTCAAAATAATTCTAGCCTCATCTTCACAATGTCACGGAATGCAGCGATTTGATTGGATAGTACACTAGCAAATACTGCCAATCGTGGCTTAGTGTTTAAGACTTTCTGTCCAGGCCTCTGATTGACCGTATTTGCTAGAGTACAATCCAATCAAATCGCTGTAAGTAGAAAGGTCTGTGATACATGAATGGTGACTATTGTAGTCAAGGTACAAGACGAAGTTTGTCATAGCTTGACATTGTGAAGATGTGAAACAAGAAAGGTGGCTATTGCAGTCAAGGTATAAGACGTAGTTCGTAATATCTTGACATTGTGAAGATGATTATGTGCAAATTTATATCACTACCGTTTTGTCCCGAAATGTAGACACGAGAATAAGTTCTACTCGTCCAACTTCAGTAGGGACGCAGGCTGAAAATAGATCAGTTGTCTGAAGATCTCTACTTGTCAAACTTCAGTAGGGACGCAGGCTGAAAATAAGCCAGTTGTCTGAAGATTTCTACTTGTCAAACTTCAGTAGGGATACAGGCGGACAAAAAGGTTAGTTGTCTGAAGATCACACAGTGTGAAACTCTGAGTAACAACATGTTTCAGGTTCTGTTTTAGTTGTCTGATGATCACATAGTGTGAAACTCTGAGTAACAACATGTTTCAGGTTCTGTTTTAGTTGTCTGAAGATCACACAGTGTGAAACACAGTGCATAATTCCTTCAAAAATACAACGATACACTATACATGGTCCATGGCTTGGTTGATTTGAGTCTTGAATATGTGTAAATAGTCTTCAGAAATACTAGAAATGTACCAAAATCACACAATTCCTTTAAAAATACAACAATACACTATACATGGTCCTTGGCTTGGTTGATTTGAGTCTTGAATATATGTAAATAATCTTCAGAAGTATTAGAAATGTACGAAAATTGCATAATTCCTTCAAGCTGTCTGAAGATCGCATAGTGTGAAACTCTGAGTAACAACATGTTTCAGGTTCTGTTTTAGTTGTCTGATGATCACATAGCGTGAAACTCTGGGTAACAACATGTTTCAGGTTCTGTTTTAGTTGTCTGATGATCACATAGCGTGAAACTCTGAGTAACAACATGTTTCAGGTTCTGTTTTAGTTGTCTGAAGATCACACAGAGTGAAACTCTGAGTAACAACATGTTTCAGGTCCTGTTTTAGTTGTCTGATGATCACATAGCGTGAAACTCTGAGTAACAACATGTTTCAGGTCCTGTTTTAGTTGTCTGAAGATCACACAGCGTGAAACTCTGAGTAACAACATGTTTCAGGTTCTGTTTTAATATTTCTACAGTATAACTATATAAATAACTTAGGTTAGATTGTAGAGAACTATGTCAATTTTGATCGATCTAATATAAACTATTCAGACAAGCGGATTAATATTTTCTATTTTAACTCAGGGGAGCCCTCGGGCTATGCAATGACGCATACCATTAGCGAATAGCTCAAATATGTCGCTGTAGTTTTTAACTTTGTTTCGTTTACCTTATTGAAGTTATAGACAGAAACTAGAAGTAGAGTCAGGCCTTGTCTGATAAATCCTTCCCTAAACCAAGTTCCGATATCCCAATCTGAATATCACGTCGGAAGAACTTGGTAGGGTTACATTTGTCGGGCTAAGTCAGAACGTCATATATGGCTAATATTTGTAGAAGTATATTAGTGCTCATGTTGGACGTTTTCTCGCTAACCTTACTTAGCATAAGTCGAAATAATGACGAATTATTAAAAACGGACCCCCTTGTCAGTGATACAGGTTGGATCTTACATGGAAAGGGGCACCTTGCCGATCTCATGAGAAACGAAAAGAATGGGGTATTGCAACTGTATTTGCAAAAGTATTCACATTATTATCCCAATAAGTAGAAAAGTAGAACGTAAAACTCTATTTCATATTAATTTCTAGGTGTTCTGTTATTCAGTATAAAGTATAAAGTATTTAGGACAGGCAGAAAATCAATAATTGTTAACTTGATGTTCATATATAGTTATTATTTATAACATTAATTATACCAGATACGCTTGACATTTATTATATGTATCAGGGACACTGATAGCATCAATTTACATCATTCCAATTTTCAATCAGGCATCTGTGGTTCCTGTAATTCCACTAAAACTAAGACGTCACTAATCGTGAAGGGCCTTATGTTATACAGTATATACAGCGATTAGCTCCTAGCCCATCCCGAAATTTCCACATTGGAACACTCTAGTTATTGGTCATGGTCATTTCCCGCCAAAAATGTCACAGAAACTATGTGAAGTATGCGTGGCAGACGATAATTTTAACTCAGTGGGTGTAACAGGTCAAACTTGAACACTACATAAACTATTCACATAAAAAATAATTCTATTCATATCTGGTTTCCTACCTACGTGTTTTATTACTGTTTTAACTGACCACGATATATTAGTCATTTTATAGGGATTGTAAAGAGATTTTCTTAACATTATACCTTGTATATGTATCAGGGGGTCCGGTACGTTCGCCCTAAAACACATTCGTCCCTTGTACATTATGTATATAGGAGACACATCAATTTACATCATTCTAATTTTCAATCAGACGTCTGTGGTTCTTGTTAAAGAGATTGTAAAGAGGTTTTCTAAATTTTTTTATGTATATCAGAGACACTGATATCATCAATTTACACCATTCTAATTTTCAATCAGACGTCTGTGGTTCTTGTTAAAGAGATTATAAAGAGGTTTTCTAAATTTTTTATGTGTATCAGGGACACTGATAGCATCAATTTACATCATTCCAATTTTCAATCAGACGTCTGTGGTTCTTGTTAAAGAGATTGTAAAGAGGTTTTCTATATTGTTTATGTGTATCAGGGACACTGATATCATCAATTTACATCATTCCAATTTTCAATCAGACGTCTGTGGTTCTTGTTAAAGAGATTGTAAAGAGGTTTTCTATATTTTTTATGTGTATCAGGGACACTGATAGCATCAATTTACATCATTCTAATTTTCAATCAGACGTCTGTGGTTCCTGCAATTCCACAAAACTAGCTGCTTATAACATGCAAGTGCATTTGCTGTTCCATTTTAAAAAGAACAAAATGGAAGTTTGAATTAATTTTAGTCTCTTTGAAGGGGGCATGTCGATGATTCGTTCGGCTTAAACTCGAGGGCACGTATTCTATAGAGGTACAAGTAAAAATCCTTTGTCAGTTGTCAACTGCTACTCAGCAAATGCAGTCATTGTGCACTGCATGGCGTTGTCAAACAACATATCAAAAAGACCCAAGTGAAAAGAAAATCACTACATATAAACTGAACGAAGAAAAGACATGCATAACGTTTGAGTTTTGTCCTTGGTTTTTAATGCATAGGCTATCACTTACGATTTATAAAGTCTTTACAATAAATATTATATTGTACGGTGTATAATTATTTAGGTTGAACAAGTAGTGCAGGTTTTATTCTGAGTCTTTTTAAAATACACAAAGAGACATTAAATGCAGAAATGTGTGATTTTAATATTTGAACTGTGGCGTATTCAGGGTTTGGTCGTTGGTTCGTCAGCCCATCCCTTCTCAAGCCTGTGATAGTGAAAATTAACTCATCTAATTGCTCAGAATTTAACGTAGGTCATCAGAAATCCATTGGCTTAAGGGGGCCTCACCTTGGATAGACAAAATCCCCCCCCCCCCTCCTCCCCATCAGATATTTTCTAGTTACGACCCTGGGGACATGTATATACATCATGCAAAAAGTCGTTTGGTTTGAAGCCTGTGCCTGTGCTTTTGTAACTTAATTGTTACAACCACTCTAACCGAACGAAGAGAACGCCTTGCAGTGAGCAATAAGGGAAATTTTGACAAGACAACGGCATTATTTCTCGATTGCAAATCTTCAAGGAGACTGTAAATAGTTCGATAATTCGTAAAAATATAAGAAATTACGAATGTCGGAGGGACTTTAAAGTGAATGACCCC